AGAACATTCACAGTTGGTTTAAACTCAGTCCAGAACCTAAGATACTGGCAGTGCTTGAAGTTCATAGAACTGTACTCCTTAGAACGTAGGCGAGAAAGATACATTATAATCTACACCTGCGTTAGAAACATTTTTCGACGGAAAAGAAGGTCAAACTGGTTGATTTTGTTCCTGTTAGTTATATATTATTCACCTCAAAAGGTCATCGCCTCCGAGGTACGAGTCCAGACCAGGCTGGAGCAGCCAGGCTGTTGCTGCTACCAGCACGTACTCTAAAATTTGGCCCCATCACACAATTATAATTATTTATGTTCTTGAGTCACGTAATTCATCGGCAATATATGCATATAATATCTGAGTGTCACCAAAACCAATCTTATACAAGGTTGGTGTTGATGGCAGGTGTTGTTGACACACATGTTATATGTACGTAGTTAACGAGATGCAGATTTAACTTAAGAAAACGATAGAAAGATGACCAGTGTTATCTTAGGTCATGTACACGCTCACAGCCTCACAATCTCAGGTCATGTACACACTCACAGCTTCACAATCTCAGGTCATGTACTCACTCACAGCTTCACAATCTCAGGTCATGTACTCACTCACAGCTTCACAATCTCAGGTCATGTACACACTCACAGCTTCACAATCTCAGGTCATGTACACACTCACAGCTTCACAATCTCAGGTCATGTGCACACTCACAGCTTCACAATCTTAGGTCATGTACACACTCACAGCTTCACAATCTCAGGTCATGTGCACACTCACAGCTTCACAATCTTAGGTCATGTACACACTCACAGCTTCACAATCTCAGGTCATGTACACACTCACAGCTTCACAATCTCAGGTCATGTACACACTCACAGCTTCACAATCTCAGGTCATGTACACACTCACAGCTTCACAATCTCAGGTCATGTACTCACTCACAGCTTCACAATCTCAGGTCATGTACACATCACAGCTTCACAATCTCAGGTCATGTACACACTCACAGCTTCACAATCTCAGGTCATGTATCTCACTCACAGCTTCACAATCTCAGGTCATGTACTCACTCACAGCTTCACAATCTCAGGTCATGTAAATCACTCACAGCTTCACAATCTCAGGTCATGTACTCACTCACAGCTTCACAATCTCAGGTCATGTACTCACTCACAGCCTCACAATCTCAGGTCATGTACTCACTCACAGCTTCACAATCTCAGGTCATGTACACACTCACAGCTTCACAATCTCAGGTCATGTGCACACTCACAGCCTCACAATCTTAGGTCATGTACACACTCACAGCCTCACAATCTCAGGTCATGTACACACTCACAGCTTCACAATCTCAGGTCATGTACACACTCACAGCCTCACAATCTTAGGTCATGTGCACACTCACAGCTTCACAATCTTAGGTCATGTACACACTCACAGCCTCACAATCTTAGGTCATGTACACACTCACAGCCTCACAATCTTAGGTCATGTACACACTCACAGCCTCACAATCTTAGGTCATGTGCACACTCACAGCTTCACAATCTCAGGTCATGTGCACACTCACAGCCTCACAATCTTAGGTCATGTGCACACTCACAGCTTCACAATCTCAGGTCATGTACACACTCACAGCTTCACAATCTCTGGTCATGTACACACTCACAGCTTCACAATCTCAGGTCATGTACACACTCACAGCCTCACAATCTCAGGTCATGTACTCACTCACAGCTTCACAATCTCAGGTCATGTACACACTCACAGCCTCACAATCTCAGGTCATGTACTCACTCACAGCTTCACAATCTCAGGTCATGTACACACTCACAGCCTCACAATCTCAGGTCATGTACACACTCACAGCTTCACAATCTCTGGTCATGTGCACACTCACAGCTTCACAATCTCAGGTCATGTACTCACTCACAGCTTCACAATCTTAGGTCATGTACACACTCACAGCTTCACAATCTCAGGTCATGTACACACTCACAGCTTCACAATCTCAGGTCATGTACACACTCACAGCTTCACAATCTCTGGTCATGTACACGCTCACAGCTTCACAATCTCAGGTCATGTACACACTCACAGCTTCACAATCTCAGGTCATGTACACACTCACAGCTTCACAATCTCAGGTCATGCACACACTCACAGCTTCACAATCTCAGGTCATGTACACACTCACAGCTTCACAATCTCAGGTCATGTACACACTCACAGCTTCACAATCTCAGGTCATGTACACACTCACAGCTTCACAATCTCAGGTCATGTACACACTCACAGCTTCACATCTCAGGTCATGTACACACTCACAGCTTCACAATCTCAGGTCATGTACACACTCACAGCTTCACAATCTCAGGTCATGTGCACACTCACAGCTTCACAATCTCAGGTCATGTACACACTCACAGCCTCACAATCTCAGGTCATGTACACACTCACAGCTTCACAATCTCTGGTCATGTACACACTCACAGCCTCACAATCTCTGGTCATGTACACACTCACAGCCTCACAATCTCCGGTCATGTACACACTCACAGCCTCACAATCTCCGGTCATGTACACACTCACAGCCTCACAATCTCTGGTCATGTACACACTCACAGCCTCACAATCTCTGGGTCATGTACAACTCACAGCCTCACAATCTCTGGTCATGTACACACTCACAGCCTCACAATCTCTGGTCATGTACACACTCACAGCCTCACAATCTCTGGTCATGTACACACTCACAGCCTCACAATCTCCGGTCATGTACACAGCCTCACAACAAACACAACAAACACAACAAGCACAACACAACAAACACAACGAACAACAAACACAACAAGCACAACACACAAAAACACAACAAACATAACAAACACAACAAGCACAAACAACAAACACAACAAACATAACAAACACAAAAACAAACACACAAACAACACAAACACAACACACAAACACAACAAACACAGACAAACAACACAACAAACACAACAAACACAACAAGCACAAACACAACAAACACAACAAACATAACAAACACAACAAACAACACACAAACACAACAAGCACAACACAACAAACACAACAAACACAACAAACATAAGAAACACAACACAACAAACACACACATAAAACAAAAACACAACAAACACAACAACACAACAAACACCAACAAACAAACACACAAAAACATAACAAACACAACAACAAAACACACACAAACACCAACACAACAAACAAAACAAACAAAACCACAACAAAACATAAACAAACACAACAAACAAACAAACACAACACAACAAAACACAACACAACAAACCAACAACAACAAACAAACACAACAAACACAACAAAACATAACAAACAACACAACAACACAACAAACATAAAACAACAACACAACAAAATAACAAAACACAAACACAACAAACACAAACACAACAACCAACACAAACAAACACAAACACAACAAAACACAACAAAACACAACACAACCAAACAAACAAACATGACAACACAAAAACACAAACACAACAAACACAACACAACAAACATAACAAACAAACAAACACAACAAACATAACAAACACAACAAACACAACAAACACAACAAACATAACAAACATAACACAACAAACACAACAAACATAACAATACCAACAAAACACAACAAACATACAAAACAACAAACACAAAACACAACATACACAACAAACATAACAACAAAACACAAAAACACAACAAACAACAACACACAAACAACAAACAAACATAAACACAACAAAACACAAACAACACAAAAACAAACACAACAAACACAACAAACACAACAAAACTAACAAACATAACATAACCACAACAAACACAACAAACAAAACAAACACAACAAACACAACAAAACATAACACAACAAACATAACAAACAAACAAACTAACAAACAAACATAACTACAACATAACACAACAAACACAACAAACACAACAACACAACAAACACAAACAATAAACAAACAAACTAAGAAACACAACAAACACAACAAACACAACAAAACAAAAAAACACAACAAACAAAACAAACACAAAAAAACAAACAAAATAACAAACACAAAAAAACATAACAAAAAACAAAACAAAAAAAACACAACAAACACAACAAACCAAACAAACATAAAAAAACACAACAAACAAAACAAACAACAACAAACACAACAAAAAAAAAACACAAACCAACAAACACAACAAAACACAAAAACAAAACAACAAACAAACAAACAAACCCAACAAACAAACAAAACAAAAACATAACAAACACAAAAAAACACAAAAACAAACAACACAATAACACAACAAACACACAAAAAACATAACAAAACAAAAAACAAACAAACAAAAACACAAAAAACAAAAAAAAAAAAAAAAAAAAAAAAAAAAACCCAAAAAACCAAAAAAAAAAAAAAAAAAAAAAAAAAAAAAACAAAAAAAAAAAAAAAAAACAAAAAAAAAAAAAAAACAAACACAACAAACACAACAAACACAACATAACAAACTCAACAAACACAACAAACACAACAACACAACATAACAAACACAACAAACACAACAAACACAACAAACGCAACATAACAAACACAACAAACACAACATAACAACACAACAAACACAACAAACACAACATAACAAACACAACAAACACAACAAACATAACAAACTCAACAAACACAACAAACACAACACAAACACAACATAACAAACACAGCAAACACAACATAACAAACACAACAAACACAACAAATACAACAAACCCAACAAACACAACAAACACAACAAACATAACACAACAAACACAACAAACACAACAAACACAACATAACAAACACAACAAACACAACACAAACACAACAAACACAACAAACACAACATAACAAACACAACAAACACAACATAACAAACACAACAAACACATCAACAAACATAAAAATATAACTTACCGAAGCACATTTTGGCGACTTTGTCTAAAAGTTTTCCTCGGGCAAAAATTAAGCCTAGAGGCGCCCAGGCGAGGAGTAGTAGGCTGGAGTAGGCTGGAGTAGGGTGAAGTAGGCTGGGTTTCCAACCAATTTTCCTCCCCCTGCCTCCCCCTCCCCCCGGAGTCTTAAGCCGTGCACACAATAGGCCTATCCTGGCGTAGGCAGTTGATGGTAGGTTCTGCCTCTCCCACACCCGCACTCACTCTTGATTATCGTCGGAGGTTTGAGGACTGGGTACGACATGAGCGTAGATAGGGGGGGGGGTAGTTTTAGATGAGGTTCAGGGGCTCTCAGTGCGTATAACGCCACCACCTCCACACACAGCCGTATACGCACACACTTCACCAACGCACATCCCCTTTGACTCCTACGCACACAGACACACACACACACACGCACTCGCACGCACACGCAAGTAACGTTTCTGTGAGAATGTTGTACCCTGGTGAGTGTGTCTCAGGGTATCAGAGTCTAGTGGGCATGGGGCAGGTCCTGCCCGCACCATGGCTGTACCAACCACACACTGACCGTCTCACACACACACACATACTCTCTCTCTCTCTCTCTCTCTCTCTCTCTCTCCTTCTACGCCAACCCACATTCCCCGTTTTCTTCGTTAATTTTCGTATCCTTTCGTCTCGATGCCCACCACTGGGCACCACGTACCCAACCCCCCCCTTCCCGCACGCACTCACACACACGCACGCACACACATACACACACACACACACACACACGCACACACACAAACACGTCAACCAGCCAACCATCTCACAAAGATCCCAATGGTAATACAAGGACACCAATGGAAATACAAGGACACCAATGGAAATACAAGGACACCAATGGAAATACAGGGACACCAATGGAAATACAGGGACACCAATGGAAATACAGGGACACCAATGGAAATACAAGGACACCAATGGAAATACAAGGACACCAATGGAAATACAGGGACACCAATGGAAATACAGGGACACCAATGGAAATACAGGGACACCAATGGTAATACAAGGACACCAATGGAAATACAAGGACACCAATGGAAATACAGGGACACCAATGGAAATACAAGGACACCAATGGAAATACAAGGACACCAATGGAAATACAAGAACATCAATGGAAATACAATGACACCAATGTAACTACAAGGACACAAATGGAAATACAAGGACACCAATGTAAATACAAGGACACCAATGGAAATACAAGGACACTAATGGAAATACAAGGACACCAATGGAAATACAAGGGCTCCAATGGAAATACAAGGACACCACTGGAAATACAAGGACCCCAATGGAAATACAAGGACACCAATGGAAATACAAGGACACCAATGGAAATACAAGGACCCCAATGGTAATACAAAGACCCCAATGGTAATACAAGGACCCCAATGGTAATACAAGGGTTCCAATGGCAATACAAGGACCCCAATGGTAATACAAGGACCCCAATGGTAATACAAGGATCCCAATGGTAATACAAGGACCCCAATGGTAATACAAGGACCCCAATGGTAATACAAGGATTCCAATGGTAATACAAGGACCCCAATGGTAATACAAGGACACCAATGGAAATACAAGGACACCAATGGAAATACAAGGACACCAATGGAAATACAAGGACCCCAATGGTAATACAAGGACCCCAATGATAATACAAGGACCCCAATGGTAATACAAGGGCTCCAATGGCAATACAAGGACCCCAATGGTAATACAAGGACCCCAATGGTAATACAAGGATCCCAATGGTAATACAAGGACCCCAATGGTAATACAAGGACCCCAATGGTAATACAAGGATCCCAATGGTAATACAAGGACCCTAATGGTAATACAAGGACCCCAATGGTAATACAAGGATTCCAATGGTAATACAAGGACCCCAATGGTAATACAAGGACACCAATGGAAATACATGGACCCCAATGGTAATACAAGGACCCCAATGGTAATACAAGGACACCAATGGAAATACAAGGACCCCAATGGTAATACAAGGACCCCAATGGTAATACAAGGACCCCAATGGTAATACAAAGACCCTCAATGGAAATAACAAGGACCCCAACAAATTTGCCCTACCAGCTAGGTGCCCAGTGTTGGGGTATGGGCAGTGTTGCCACCTGGCTTTCTATACCCACCATCAACCTGGGTCCACACCACTACCACCTCGCCTACATGCACACCACACAAAGTACATTCAGAGCACGTGTACTCAAGCGGTGCTCAGTGTTCTTGCGCAACGAGGACATTGTTTTTGCCTGAGCAAAGACAAAGCGACAGGGAGGCAACAAGAGAGGGGGGAAGGGGGATTTCGTTTTTTTTAGGCCTAAAAGGCCCTTCTTTTGCGTTGTTTTTGTGGATGTAAACAAAGGGAGGGAGGTAGGCTTAGTGTCTCCTGCACTCATCAGAGGTACTGACGTGACCAGAGGAGGTACTGACGTGACCAGAGGTCACTGACGTGAACACAGGAGGTACTGACGTGACCAGAGGAGGTACTAACGTGACCAGAGGAGGTACTGACGTGACCAGAGGAGGTACTGACGTGACCAGAGGTCACTGACGTGAACACAGGAGGTTCTGACGCGAGTAGAGGAGGTACTGACGTGACCAGAGGTCACTGACGTGAACACAGGAGGTTCTGACGCGACCAGAGGAGGTACTGACGTGACCAGAGGTCACTGACGTGAACACAGGAGGTACTGACGTGACCAGAGGTCACTGACGTGAACACAGGAGGTTCTGACGCGACCAGAGGAGGTTCTGACGCGACTAGAGGAGGTTCTGACGCAACTAGAGGAGGTTCTGACGCGACTAGAGGAGGTTCTAACTGACCAGAGGTTATTGACATGACCAGAGGTTATTGACGTGACAAGAGGAGGTTCTAAAGTGACCAGGAGGTTCTAAAGTGACCAGGAGGTTCTAAAGTGACCAGGAGGTTCTAAAGTGACCAGGAGGTTCTGACCCACCGGTATCATCCTCCTTCAGGTAATAATAATTACATTAATAATAATGATAATAATAATAATTATAATAATAATTCAAAATGTCTTGTTAAAAATAAATGTGTAAAGCTGTTTTATGTTGTGGCAACACTGCTGGTATGATTCAGTGTTGTGGCAACACTGCTGGTATGACTCAGTATTGTGGCAACACTGCTGGTATGACTCAGTGTTGTGGCAACACTGCTGGTATGACTCAGTGTTGTGGCAACACTGCTGGTATGACTCAGTGTTGTGGCAACACTGCTGTATGGATCAGTGTGTGGCAACACTGCTGGTATGACTCAGTGTTGTGGCAACACTGCTGGTATGACTCAGTGTTGTGGCAACACTGCTGGTATGACTCAGTGTTGTGGCAACACTGCTGGTATGACTCAGTGTTGTGGCAACACTGCTGGTATGACTCAGTGTTGTGGCAACACTGCTGGTATGACTCAGTGTTGTGGCAACACTGCTGGTATGACTCAGTGTTGTGGCAACACTGCTGGTATGACTCAGTGTTGTGGCAACACTGCTGATATGACTCAGTGTTGTGGCAACACTGCTGGTATGACTCAATGTTGTGGCAACACTGCTGGTATGACTCAGTGTTGTGGCAACACTGCTGGTATGACTCAGTGTTGTGGCAACACTGCTGGTATGACTCAATGTTGTGGCAACATGTGAGACTCAATGTTGTGGCAATACTGCTAGTATGACTCAGTGCTGTGGCAACACTGCTGGTATGACTCAATGTTGTGGCAACACTGCTGGTATGACTCAATGTTGTGGCAACATTGCTGGTATGACTCAATGTTGTGGCAACACTGCTGGTATGACTCAATGTTGTGGCAATACTGCTAGTATGACTCAATGTTGTGGCAACACTGCTGGTATGACTCAATGTTGTGGCAACACTGCTGGTATGACTCAATGTTGTGGCAATACTGCTAGTATGACTCAATGTTGTGGCAACACTGCTGGTATGACTCAATGTTGTGGCAACACTGCTGGTATGACTCAATGTTGTGGCAACACTGCTGGTATGACTCAGTGCTGTGGCAACACTGCTGGTATGACTAAATGTTGTGGCAATACTGCTGGTATGACTCAATGTTGTGGCAACACTGCTGGTATGACTCAATGTTGTGGCAACACTGCTGGTATGACTCAATGTTGTGGCAATACTGCTGGTATGACTCAATGTTGTGGCAACACTGCTGGTATGACTCAATGTTGTGGCAACACTGCTGGTATGACTCAATGTTGTGGCAACACTGCTGGTATGACTCAATGTTGTGGCAATACTGCTAGTATGACTCAGTGCTGTGGCAACACTGCTGGTATGATTAAATGTTGCCATCAGTAGCTTGTGACTCACGAGTCAGTGTTGCCAGCACCACCACCTGACTCACAAACCAGCGTTACCAACACCACCAGCTCCTCCTCCTCCTCGTGACTCAGCAGAATATTGTAAACAATCCACAATCTTAATCATTTACAATAATCTCCTGTAGTAAATCATTTACATCTGACAACATAACTCAGTCAAGTCTAAAATTCTCACGTCGTTATATTGACAGACTTTTAATCAATCTATTTTTCTCGTCTATTGTCAGTAAAGCTTCTGAGATTATTTATGTATGACGTGTATAAGCGTATACATTAATATACATACATAAGAACATAAGAAAGAAGGAACACTGCAGAAGGCCTACTGGCCCATGCGAGGCAGGTCCAAGTCTCCTACCGGCTTAAGCCAATGCCCCAACCTGGTCAGGTCAGGTCACATTCACGGCAACTGACCTAGTAGCACCAGGTAATCAGGTCCAACTCACACCCACTCATGTATTTATCTAACCTATTTTTAAAACCACACAACGTTTTAGCCTCAATAACTGTACTCGGGAGTTTGTTCCACTCATCCACAACTCTATTACCAAATCAGTGCTTTCCTATATCTTTCCTGAATCTGAATTTTTCCAACTTAAAACCATTGCTACGAGTCCTGTCTAGGCTAGATATTTTCAGCACGTTATTTACGTCCCCTTTATTTATTCCTGTCTTCCATTTATACACCTCAATCATACCCCCCCCCCCTAATTCTACGTCTTTCTAGAGAGTGCAGATTAAGGCCCCTCAGTTTATTCTCATAGGGAAGATTTCTGATATATGGGATTAACTTTGTCATCCTTCTTTGTACGTTTTCCAGAGCATTTATATCCATTCTATAATACGGTGACCAAAACTGTGCTGCATAATCTAAATGAGGCCTAACCAAGGATATATAGAGTTGAAGAACAACCTGAGGACTCCTATTATTTATGCTTCTTGATATGAAGCCAAAGATTCTGTTAGCTTTATTACGAGCACTTCTGCACTGTTGTCTTGGTTTCAGATTACTGCTAACCAGAACTCCTAAATCTTTTTTGCAATTCGTAATATTAAGATCTACATTATGTAGTTTATATGTGGCATGGTTATTTTCCTGTCCAACATTTAGAACTTTGCATTTGTCTATATTAAAC